CCCCCCCCCCCCGCCAGGTGGCATCCTTTCTGCACGCCCCTGGTCCAGAAGCCTCTGAGCCTTACTTGGTCTAAACCAAAAGGCTGTGGAGCACCTAGGGTAGAAGTGCAAAAGCCACAAGGACAGGTTAGTGCAGCCTATCTGGAGAGAGAAAAAGAAGCTCCCATCAGCATGTTTACCCAACGCAGGCCAGGTGCTCAGTGCTGGCTGCCTTTGACCCCCTTCAAACCAGGTTTCCATGACTGAGCACATGCTGCTTCTTGCAGCAGTTTTATGCTTGACAATGGGTTTCACAAAGTGTCCCCCATATGCCGTCCTATGGTGAGGAGCTTGCCACCCAATGCTGATTGGGAGGTCGTCTTATATTTGAGTAAATATAATAGCAGCAAACATACAAACACCCCACAACCCTGCAAACCACTGCACGGTACCAGAAAAGGAAGAAAACAAGTCAAGTAAAGCTAATCCAAAAACACAGCTGGCTCGCGCAGGCCTAGAGGGACGGACACGCACGATCCCCATGCGGGGCTGGCAGGGACAGGAGGACGAAGCCGGCGGCCCGTATCCCTAGGGAGGAGGCGCAGGCGCGGCAGTCCCCTGGGGCAAACAGGAGCCGGCCCCGGAGGGAAAGGGCAGCTGAGACCCAGAAAGCGGGGAGGAGATGGAGGAAATCACGAGACGCGGCTCACCTTTTTGGTGCAGTTTTCACACTTCATTGGCGGCTCGGCGGGCCCGGTGGCTCGGGCGGGCTGACCGCACCAGGCACAAAGCCCCGTCAGCAGGCGCGCGCCTGCCCTTTGTTGTGCCCGCTTCCCCCGACCCGCCCTTTTATGGCGCCGCCCCGAGTGGCAGCGGCGAGAGCCAATCAGAACCGGAGGGGGGGCGGGCCCGCTACCGGCAGCCAATAGGACGCTCCCGCAGGGCCGAGCAACGTCATGTGGCTCAGAACACCCCACACTGCCTTGGGCCGCGCTTGAGTGGGGGCCGTGTTCGCTCCTGCCCGGGGGTAGCAGTGACCCGGGTCGTCGCGGGGGTGCGGGAAGGTCGCGACCACCTGCCCGGCCCGGGCGGGTCTAGCTCAGCCGCTCCGAGCTGGCGCGGCCGGTGCCTGAAATAACTCCCGGAGCCCGACTCGTACCTTGCCCTTCACTGCATGGGCCCCGCGGCGAGTGTCAATCCCAGCAGCGACGAAGACGACTCAGGGATGAGGTCCGGGGTGTGCGGGGTCCCCGCCCCCGCCCGCGAGTGTTCATTGCGGACCTGCAAGCCCGCACGTAGTCGCCTGAAACCGAAACCCCGGCGCCCCCTCGCGGCACAGGACCCACCTTTCGCGTCCCGGACAGGGCAGAGGGTCCCGCCGCAGCTGCCTCGGGGCTTCGAGTCCGCCCGCCTGTGAGACTGCCGGCCCCAAATCCTGCTCCCGCGTAGCGTGTGGCAGAAATGGCAGCTGCTTCTCAGCTCTTCTCCAGTATAACATCAGTCTGTTACTGCACAGGCTGCAGGGCTTTTCCACCACACCAGTTAGAGTCCTATCTACACACGTGCTCAGCCGACTTAAAATAAGTGACTTAACTAAGTCAAATGAAGCCATGTTGGACTGTACACAGGTACAGATCCCTGACAAGGTGGCAGCCATCTCGTGACCTAAGTGGACCTAGCTAATGCAAGTCAAGGTAATACACCTTGGGGGTGTATTATCTTGTGCAGCATTTAAGTAAACTCTGGGTATGTAGCAGAAACAGTTAAGTCAACTTTAAAAAGTTAAGTTGGCTTAATGGTCAGAAAGTTAGCAAGTGTGTATGCACCCCAATTGAGGAAAGAAATTAATTGGAAGAGCTGTGGGAGTACCTGCTAGCCAGACCTACCCGTCTGGAAATGGAGGCAAAGGGGTTCAGGAAAGTAGGTGGTAATATGGGGGCAGGGAGGAACTGGTCATGCTTAGGGAATGGGATCTGTGGGTTGTTCGCCTGTTTATTGTCAGCCAGGCTGGTCCCTTTAAATCAGAAGGGATATTATACCTCGAATACATAGATATCCCCACAATCAATAAATGAATGTCACTATGGTATTTGTTGCACTTGGATCATCTTTGTGCTTGTATTGAACAAATTCTGGATGTTGCAATAAAAAAGAATGTGAGAAGCTTGGTTTACACCTGGCAGGAACAGAACATGCATCCTTTATAAAAATGTATTTAATCCCCTGAGTGGCCCAGGCAAGATCTATGCTGTTGTTATATGTCAGAAAATGACACACAGTGCAAATTCAGTGATATAAACTCTATAATTATTCAATGTTATATAAACTCTATAATTATTCAAGTGTGTATGCACCCCTATTGAGGAAAGAAATTAATAGGAAGAGCTTTGGGACTTCCTTGCCAGCCCAACCTACCCATCTGGAAATGGAGGCAAAGGGGTTCAGGAAGGTAGGTGGTAATATGGGGGCAGGGAAGAACTGGTCATGCTTAGGGAATGGGATCTGTGGGCTGTCTGCCTGTTTATTGTCAGCCAGGCTGATCCCTTTAAATCAGGAGGGATATCTTATCTCTTTTCCCTGTCAAATGGAAAGAGTGCTTAGTTTTGTTATCAGAGGCCTGTTACCTTAACAGGGTGTGTCTACATGTGGAATTAATGTGACTGAATATACTCTGGCTCAATCTGAACCTGAGTAAACTAATCCCAATGTCACCATCTACACGTGTGTTTAATAAGCACAGTAATTTACTATG